TGTGGTATATTGCCAACACAGAACCTTTGCGAACTATGGCTGATAGATTTGGAATTTCTATTTCATCTGTATTTCGGGTTCTCCGACGGGTCATAGCCTGGTTGATGACAAAATTAGATGAAGTGATTAGATGGCCACAAGGGCATGACATAGCTACGACCATTGAAAGTTTTTGTGCTAAGCAAGGAATTTCAAACGTCTTGGGAGCAATTGATGGGACTCACATCCGCATAGAAAAACCTGCAGTGTTTGCACAAGACTATTGTAATCGAAAAAAATTCTTTTCCATTAGTTTACAAATAGTGGCAGATGCGAATATGCGGATTACCAACGTACATTGTGGTGAGCCTGGTTCTCTCCATGATGCACGTATATTCAGAAGATCAGAATTGTATCATGCAGCAAATGCTGACAATGGTGTATTGTTCCCTAATGATACCTTCTTATTAGGAGACTCCGCATATCCATCTTTGCCATGGCTCGTTCCACCATTTCGAGATAATGGTCATCTCACACCACAACAGATGGAATTTAATTTTATACATTCATCCACACGAATGTCTGTTGAAAGGACATTTGGGCAATTAAAAGGACGGTTTCGTCGTATAAAATTTTTTACTGAGTATCGTGAGATGTCCTTTATCATTAACACAGTAGTTGCGGCATGCATTTTACATAATTACTGTATTGATGGGAATGATGTTTACAATTTTCCTGAAGAAGATGACGACGATTTTGAGATTTCAGTTGATAATAGAGAGCTGGAAATATCACATGGAGCAGCACGAGATCGCAGAATGGAACTTTTTACCGAACTGTTCCTTGAGCAATGATTTATTGCACACACGGGGTCATTAATGCCTGGACACCGCATGTGTACGTCATTCTCCGAACGATTAAATAATATTGACTCTATAAAAGACGAATAACTGTATATGTAATATGTATGTATATCAAATTATCTTTATTGAACATTAAAAATATAATATACATTTATCTATTAAATCTTTGGCTTATAATTTATTTTGTACTTTTGATACGTGTCAATAAAAAAGAAAATACCCTCTAATCTTTGGCTTATAATAATATATTATTTGTATTGTAACGCACTAAAAAAAAATAACACTTAAGTTAAGACTTAACGCTGCTCTAATCAGAATCGGACTTTAGTCGGAATCGCATGTTTCACGAAGATTCTGATTCTCTTTGTCTTCTACCAATTTTTTTAGTAATTTACATTTTAATGTTTCGATTTCCATGAGTTCTGAGTGACGGTTTTTCTTTTCTTTTGTCTTCTTCGTTGCAATCTCTTTTCGCTGTTCCAGTTCAGCCTCTTTCAAATCAAGCTGTCTTTTTTTTTTAACTTTAAGGCATCTTTTTTAGTCTCGGTAAGAGTTGCATATCTTTGATCTTTGATATGATCACGCTCTTCTTTTTTTTGTAAATGATGCAGCCACTGTTTTTCGAGTTCGACCTTGGTTGCTGCAGTTTTAGAACCCGTTCCATGACACGGACGCTTACGCTTTTTCACGTCAGTAACACTTGAGTCTACGGTACTGCCGGTACTCTTCGATGAGGTACTCTTGGGTAAGGTTACTATCGATGAACTGGTCGCAACCGGAGAAGACCCACACGAAGATTTCTTTTGAGAAATTGACGTACAAGGATTTGATGTTTTTGATGTTTTTGATGTTAATTTTGATGATACAGTTTGTCCAGCAATGGCACGCTGTCGCGATCCGAGAATTTCATCCATCTGCTCATACCACTCGAAATCCATAGGAGCCCTTCCCGATAATGAATTATTATCCACCACTTCTTTGTATTTTTTTATTAACGCATTGATTTTCCATCGTATTTGATCGTTCGTCATCTGAAATATAAAAGACGGAGTGTTCGCAATGTTAAGACATACCTTTGTTACATTTAAATTGAAAAATAGAATAAAGCAGTGCAACTGCATCTATATCTATATTTCGATACTCTCTATTCTATTATATAAAATATTTTGTTCGTATGTATGTATGGAATTAACTTAGTGTTAAAATATTTTTATTAAAAAATTTACTTTAAAAAAAGGAGAGTAATAATCGACCCTGACTGGCAATATATAAATTGATTATATCTCACACTTGTTTACTGATGACGTTTCGACCGTCACTTTCGGTCCTTATCAAGTGTTATTAAAGTTACATATCTCTTACAAACAATTCAGTCCTGGCATTGTGCCAACAAGCCAAAAGTCAAGAAAAGTTTGCGCGTCATATGTAAAAGAAGTGGTATATAAGGGAAAAGCATGTCAGCATGTGTGCCTTTGTCACTCGTGGGTTGCTGACATGTTTTTCCCTCATATATCACTTCATTTACATATGACGCGCAAACTTTTCTTGACTTTTGGCTTGTTGGCACAATGCCAGAACTGAATTGTGTGTAAGAGATATGTAATTTTAATAACACTTGATAAGAACCGAAAGTGACGGTCGAAACGTCATCAGCAAACAAGTGTGAGATATAATAAATTTATATATTGCCAGTCAGCGTCGATTATTACTCTGCTTTTTATTTATTCACTGGCGAAGAAAAGGTTTATTCTTTCTAAATTTACTCAAGATTTCAAAAAATATTTAACAAAACACTACCTTTATTCCAAATTCCAACAGTCCAATTCTTATTGCCTCCCATATTTTTCCTTTTTTTTTCGGGTGATCCATCAGTTCTATATTTGCCTCATAGAGGCTTATAGCCGCCAATGTTGCTTTTCTATCCCAAATGGCATCTGTAAAAATATAAATGTAAAATATTCACATATTATATATTTGTCTATATATCCAAATATATTATATATATATATATTATATATTCTATATTTATATTTCATTTAAATACATACGTTCTTTACTTGTTGATAGGATACTTGTTGTATTCGAAAGTTGCGTTGCATCTTCATTATCGTTTTCCATGCTTTGTAGACAAGACATTTCTATAAAAAGTTAAAAAAAAGATATATATATTCTATGAGCTGTATTTAGAACGCGCTTACAACGATGTTAGCGGTCCTAGCCAATGAAGCGTTCTAGGAGCGCTGACATCTCGCGCTAACATCGTTGTAAGCGCGTTCTGAATACGGGCCTATATTTATATTTCAGTTAAATACATACGTTCTTTACTTGTTGATAGGATACTTGTTGAATTCGAAAGTTGCGTTGTATCTTCATTATCGTTTTCCATGCTTTGTAGACAAGACATTTCTATAAAAAGTTAAAATACAATTTAAACATTTATTATTATAACCTGCTCGCATTCATCATTTATGGACAGATTAACATATGTGAAGTAAAATAGATAATAGATTATCTATACTTACGTTCATCCTCTTGACAAAATAAAATATTATTATCTTCCTCCATAAACACATTCTTCCCCAAAAAGCAATCATGGGATGAAATATCGTCAAACAAAAGAATTTGTTTGTTGCAATGCTTGCAAATGTACATCGTGCCTTTCACAAAACTGTAAAAAAAACATCGTTTTACGAATTGAAAATAAAATGTTAATCCGTGTAAAGGCTCTGATCTGATGAAAATCAAAGAGAGTGTTGAACGGGCTGAATAAGAGCCAAGCGCTGTTGACGGTGCACGAAGGTTAATTCCTTTATTTATGATAAATCAATTTTAAAACCGTTTCGGTCCGAATTTTGGAAACGTACGGTTTTAAAATTGATTTTTATCATAAATAAAGGAATTAACCTTTGTGCACCGTCAACAGCGCTTGGCTCTTATTTAGCCCGTTCAACACTCTCTTAAAATGTTAATTATTATAAAATGTTAGTTAAAATGTAAACTGAAAAATACTTAAAAAATGAAAATAATCACCGTTTTCACAAAACAGCACACAAAGCGAACGGATCGGTCAAACGAACGAAACGAAAGTCAACGAAAGTAACGAAACATGTGCATGATTCTACGGTATCATAGTGCAATACCACATATATAAAATGAAACAGCCCTACAGCACCATTCGAAAGTTGGCAGCCATGAACCAGATTCTGTGTTCGACTATGCTCTACAGCTGTGTTCGACCGTGCTGTGGCGTGTCGTTGTTAGAAAGCACCGCGTCTGACACTGTGTCGATGTGTGTCGTCTAAATGCCTTGATGGAAAGCTCCCCGTATCACGCGCGGGGAAACGCGTAATAGTTCGAGAACAGTGCTGACATTCAAGGATGTTGAAGATGCGCTAGAGACTTTTAGTGGAGATGGCACACAAAGCGTACGAAGATGGTTCGCACTATTTGAAGAGACGGCCGAGTTGTGTTCTTGGACAAATGCGCAAAGGGTTATATATGTGAAAAGGTTATTGCGCGGGTCCGCGAAACTTTTCGCTAATTTCGAGTGTCATGCGCAGTCGTATCGTGATCTCAAGAAAGCGCTTGTCGAGGAATTCGACAAAATATTAAATAGCAGACAAATACACAAAGAACTGAGTGCAGTGACGAAAAAAACTGACGAAACATTTCAAGAGTACATCTATCGCGTGTTAGAGTTAGCGAGTCATGCGGAGATGGAGATAGAAGCCAAGATACAATACATAATCGATGGCGTGAAAGACGAAGAATCCAATAAGGCTATTCTATACAACGCGACGACAATTAAAGAATTACGGCAGAGGTTCGTACAATATGAGACGCAGCGGACCAATAGAAATAAGGCAAAGCATCGACCGCAGACGGCGGGTAAGGACAAGATGGCAAGCAGTGGCAATCGAGTGACGGCGACTTCTAACCCTAAAAAGTGTTATAATTGTGGCGATACGAAGCATTTGGGCAAGGAGTGCCCGCACAAGGCGAAGGGATCGAAGTGCTATTCTTGCGGTGAATTTGGCCACATTGCGGCGAAATGTTCGAAAGGATCGGATGCACAAAACAAAGATGCTACACCGAAGAGGGTCGACATAGTACGATCACACGGCGACAAGAAGATATACAAGGATGTGAAGATTTTAAATAAAGACGTAACGGCAGTAATCGATTCCGGTAGTGATTTGCACTTAATGCGATCGAGCTTTTATGTGCTAATCGGTGCTCCACAGATCCGGCCCGTAACAATGAAATTCGACGGCATGGGTATCACGGATTGCAGCACATTAGGAAGATTTACGGCGGATGTGACAATAGACGGTCTCACCCTTACGTTGGACATCGATGTAGTGCCTGATTACTTCACGACGCACGATTTTCTCTTAGGTGGCGAATTATCCGATTTTGCAGAAATCCATGTACGAAAACAGAAGGCAACGTTGACAGAATTCGACAACGAAGAATCGAAGACCTCCACAGACATGACGAAAGAAGAAACGGCGTGGTCAAAAGTTTTATGTGTCAACATTCAAGACGAAGAAGATGAAAGAGCGAAAGACGAGATTAACCTCAACCACATAAAAGATGTCCAGGTGAAGGAACGCGTGCGGGAGATGGTGCAAAATTATTGTCCCGAGAAGATAAAAGATAGTAGCGTGAAAATGCACCTGATACTTAAAGACGAGGTGCCCGTTCATCAGAACCCGCGAAGGTTATCAGCGGAACAACGAAGCATGGTGAATGAAATTGTTGATAAATGGATCAGCAAGGGGATAGCCCGTTCCAGTCGTTCGGAATACGCTAGTCCCATCGTGCTAGTAAAAAAGAAGAATGGAGAGCCAAGGTTGTGTGTCGATTACCGGCGTTTGAATCGGAAGATAGTACGAGATAGGTATCCATTACCATTGGTGGAAGATCAGCTGGACAGACTGGCAAGAGCTAAAGTATTCTGCACTCTGGATTTGAAGGATGGCTTCTTCCACGTGCCGATAGATGAGCCGAGTATTCATTATACATCCTTCGTTACGCCGGACGGACAGTTTGAGTTCCTGATGGTGCCTTTCGGATTGAGTAATTCTCCAGCGGTGTTCCAGCGGCATATTAAAGCGGTGTTTCAGGAATTGATAACCAAGGGTACAGTGCTAACCTATCTAGACGATCTGATTATCCCAGCCGAAGGAGAGCAGGATGATCTGCAGAAATTAGAAGAAGTTCTCAACACGGCACGCGATTACGGTTTAAGAATAAACTGGAGTAAGTGTAGTCTGATGACAACCCGAGTCGAATATTTAGGGCACATCGTAGAAGCAGGAACAGTCAAACCATCGGAGAAGAAAGTGTCAGCGGTGGCACGATTTCCTGAACCTACCTCGACGAAAGCAGCGCAAAGCTTCCTAGGACTGACGGGGTATTTTCGCAAGTTTATCCCGCAATACGCACTCATGGCCCGACCTTTATCACAGTTATTAAAGATGGAGACGAAATTTATCTTCGCAGACGATCAAAGGAAAGCATTCAATCAATTGAAAACGGCGTTAACAACAAATCCTGTGCTGAAGTTGTATAAGGTAGGCGCCACTACCGAACTTCACACTGATGCGTCCCGACTTGGTCTGGGAGCCATTTTGTTGCAGAGAGACGGTGAGGACAATCAGTTACACCCCGTGTATTACGCAAGTTGGAAAACCATAGGAGCCGAAGAAAGATATAGCAGCTTTGAATTGGAAGTGCTTGCGATAATCAAAGCTTTACGCAAATTTCGAGTATATCTGTTGGGTATACCTTTCCGAATCATTACGGATTGCAAGGCGTTTGTGCAAACGATGTCCAAGAAAAATGCATGTCCGAGAGTGGCACATTGGGCTTTAGAACTGGAAGAATTCAACTATTCTGTAGAACATCGTTCAGGTACTCTAATGCGACATGCCGACGCACTCAGTCGCAACCCTATTGAGTGTCTTATTCTCCGAGAAGCTGAAGACGCACTGACGGCGCATGTTAAACACGCACAAACGGAGGATCCTGACATACAGCGAATTATGAAGTCTATGAGGAGTCAAGGCGATCAAAAGTTTGTATTACTAGACGGAATACTCTACAAGCGAAATGAAGGCGATCTTTTATTAGTTGTACCCAAATCCATGCAGACGGAGGTAATTCTACAAGTACATGAGCGGAGTCATTTTGGATGGCGGAACACGGAATATCAGATACGGGCAGAGTATTGGTTTCCGGATCTACGTGCGAAGGTACAACAGACTGTCAGTAACTGTATTCGTTGTCTGTTAGCGGAGAGGAAACAAGGCAGAGCTGAGGGTTTTCTACGACCTCTACCCAAGGAAGACAAACCACTGGAGACTTATCATTTGGATCACTTGGGTCCAATCCCATCGACCAAGAAGGGTTACGGCCATATCCTGGTGATAGATGCATTCACCAAGTTCGTCTGGCTATACCCGACCAAATCGACGACAACTGACGAGGTGATCACCCGACTAAGCAAGCAAGCGGTTATTTTTGGAAATCCCCGACGGATTATTACGGACCGAGGAACAGCATTTAGTTCACGTGCTTTCCGTGAATATTGCGAAGCAGAAGATATAGAGCACGTAATGATAACTACCGGTGTACCACGTGCTAATGGTCAAGTGGAGAGGATCAATCGCTCCATTATTGCCATACTAACCAAGTTGTCTTTGCAGAATCCAGCGGAGTGGTTCAAACATC